GGAGCCACTCTAAAGTGCATTTAGAACATTTTGGAAATATTGGAAAAAGAGCTTGTATTAAATTATTTAAAATACAAATAAAAACCAATGTATTATCTCAATTGATCTTGATATTTTAGACTGACCGGAGGCCGTATTTCTACACTTCAGAGTCCAAGAAGTCGAAGGTGATGACAAGAACTTTAACAATCTCAACCTGCACGATATGCAGAACCAGATGATCACTTCAGACGCAGATATTACCCACTTGAAGCGTATGATCGAGGATATGGAAATGAAAATCGATCAACATCACAATGAGTTCAAGAACAATCACAGAAAGCTAAGGCAAGATATTATGGGCAAATTTAATAGACTACCACTTCCAGTACAAGCCCATACGAAATTTCAGCATAACAATAATGCCGCACGAAACGCTCGCCCAGCAAACGCCCAGAATGAAGCAGGTAGCAACATGCAGCACAACGACATGCATGAGCCCCACGATTCTCACGAAGCCTGTCTTAACGACGGAATCAGAACTCTGTGGTAACTATGGCAGGAGTATGACGAGGGACTTTATGGGGGCAAACCTGCCCGCTTCTTTACTGATAGTGAGCGAGGTAAGCTGAAGTGCACTTATAGTTTGCACCTATGTGCTTGGATGACTATGGAGAAGCTAATCGCCAGAGGTAATAGCGCTCAAATAGCTATAGAGCAAATTGAAGGATGCGTATGGTGCAGATTTATCGGTAACGGCGATATACAGAGTATGTCGCTCTGATAACGATATGACAGAGATTCAATAAAATATGCCTGATATATTATATATATATATAAACATTTTTTTCTATACATTTATATATGTAAAAATAGCGGGTTCCTAATGGTAGTTGCACAGTTAACGTATATTATAAACGTAATATAGTATTAACGTTTATACTTATAAAACTGGAATACGTTTAACGAATTGGACATGAACAAGAACTGAGATATTCAAGATTCTGAGCATGTGATAGTACTCAGTAGAGCATGGGACTCTATTGTGGACAATTAGGTGGTTTTTCAAATATAAAATGGTTTTTCCACTGAAATTAGAATTGTACATAATATAGGCACGACATCAATCTGACACCTGAAAATGACACTTTGGGAATCTCTAATTAACGGGAGTACCATGAGAGAAGGTCTCAGGCATGAAATGGTTGTACGTACAAACCTGTGGTATAATTCGATAATAATCTCAGAGCAAGATAATCCACTAAGAAAAGGACAGGATCAGAGTTGTTAGTTTAGGACAACATGGTTTTGATTCCTCCTAGCCAGCCAACTAGATGTGCCCGTCTATGCCTTAAATGGGATGGAGAGCTAGGTACCAAGAGATGGGGTTTAGATGCAGATGATACTGCACCGACTTGGTGTTTTGATTTTATTTTTTGATTTTCTTAAGTTGGACTGGTAATTGTTTCGAGGCATGAAATGTAAACTATGCGTCCAATGAAATGATATCTAGTCTTAGCAACTAAAACATAAATAAGTCTAAACCGAAGTAGTGAGTGATTCGAGCGGAGCATATCACCAGTCCATATCAAACTCGGAGAGTCTCCGGGCTATCAAATTTCTGGCCCAAATAAAATTTTAGGAACCCGGATAGTATCCGGGTATACATAGATCTTATAATTGGTCATAGGCCACGTGGAGTGGTAATAGAATATCAACGAATCCATCGCACGCGATTTCATGACAGCAAAAACTGTCTATGGGTCTCGAAGACCATTTTTTAATACAGTGATTAGTTCGCTATCTGTGGTACGTTATCTCTTGCAGTGTGATAGTATAGTCTATATAGCCTTGATGTACTAACTTTACACATACTAACGCTCACTTGAAGCGCCCAATGATTCAAAATAGAGGGCGCAGATTGGGCTCGAAGCCACGGAATACGGCAATTTATGGGAATTAACTCAGTTGGTAGAGTGCGTGCTTTGCATGCACGAAGTCGGGAGTTCGATTCTCTCATTCTCCATAGATAATGACGGATAACCTGGTCCTTCTCGGTATTTCGTACTCTGCACTAACCCATTCCGCGTCACTACACGGCGCAGACCCGATCCGTACCACAGAGGTGGATACTCTACTTAGTAGGTCAGCAAGCGAATATATGGAACATTCGATAGTAACAGTATTTTGTCAACACCGGCCCGAATTGACTCAGCACATATCTTCCATTGTCGACTCACTTGGCCCAAGCTTCAAACGGGAATTTACTGTCCACTTCTTCCCATCAATCTTTCCTGAACCACTACAGCGACTATGAGAGCCATACCATATGTTCATACATTGTATCATAAATACTTGCCATTTTTTGAAATAAATAATATTATCCCTATCTATATGGCACAGACTTTAACGTGCTATGTGATCAGAAGCCATTGCAACATCTAAAGGATATGAATCCTAACTCACAGTTAGTCAGTCGGTGGCATGACACGATCGCAAAATTTCCTTTCGGCATAACACACATACCGGGTATTCACAATCACTTACTCGACGTCTCGCCTCGTACCAGATTTTAACAGGATGGTTAGGGATTGGATGGCCAATCCTAAGTGGTTTAAGATCGCTGACAACATATATGGACCACATACCATAGATATGCTTGCCGCGCATTATAATGCACAACTGCCGAGGTACCGGACACTGGAATATCTGCCTGGGCAAATCCCACATGGCTATTAATACCACAGTTGCTAAATTATGTACATATTTAAGATGCTACCATCACGTCATGTTGTCCCTTAAGACACTCAGATAAATGGCTACCACAGTTGATCTCAATGATACAATGTGAGCCGATTTATGGAAAGATAGATACTTTTCTCTACCAGGGTACCCGTTCAGTCCAAAAGACGCCTTGGTGACATACTATTACATGTCGAATAGGTCCAGTTGGAAGAACCAAGTGGACACCATCCGAGACTTTCAAACAGAAAGTTGAGGAATCCAAGATTCCACTCTTGAATCCTAAGTCTCAATCAGAGACTGGGACAACACAAGCACCTGCAGTATGTGTTACCGAGATACAGCGAAATTCAAAGGAATCAAAGATGAGCGCAACACTAGCGAATGCCTTCCACAACAAGAAACGGTCTGACAGGGAAACTGCATACCAAGCAGAAACTCGATTGCTTGAGCAATTGATCAATGACTTTCCCGAGGTATATGATCATGTGACTCAACTAATGGATAGATCAAACATTAGTTGGATTCACGATGTAGAAGCTTCAAGCGAGATTAGACAAGACGAGTCTTCGAGTCCAGGTGATGACGCGGTGGAATCCTCACCTCCTGATTTCAATGTAACAAGTAAATCACAGGAGGCGATTCGGAATTGGTTAAGATAAAATCATGCTCTTAAGCACATGGGTTTGGTTAGAACTGAGAAAGATTGCAAGAGGTACGGAATCGTACACCCGAACCTCAAGCAATATATATGTCAGGTATATCACAAATGTAGCAACTGCAAAGTTAGCCGGATCAAGCGCCACGGATACGCACCTTCACGCAACGTATCAGAAGACGAGCCGTGGCGTCGGGTTATCATTGATTTGGTTGAGCTACCCACGTCCGAACACACGAAGAATAAATATGTCTGGCATGTGTTTGATGTCGCATCAAGATATAATGTATTGTATCCGCTGAAAGATAAATCGACTCAAACTGTGGCTGAGTGCATATATAAGTGCTTCGCAGATTTCGGCTGGCCAGCTATTGTATATTCCGACTACGGTAGTGAGTTTACAGGAAATGTCATGACGACACCGTTTCTCGTTGCGGGATCATGCCATAAGATGGGCGTACCTTACAAGAATATATAAATGTTCATGCATGCGCACAATCTAAGAATATTGTTGGATCAAGGTATGAGATATATATTTACGTCAATCTAAGTTACACCAGTGCCACACACGTACAATGGCAATGCATACTATTAATAGCAGCTATTATACTGCTGAATACATGCAAGATATTTGATTATAGACATATATGGTGCATCATATAAATATTCATACATGCGCACAATCTTAATATATTGTTATATTAAGGTATAACAATCATAATCACGACAATATAAAGCACTTTGAACTCACCTTTTGAGACACACCAACCCGGGGACCTCTGAACTCTGTTGTAAACTGCGCCGTCGTGCGCACATCCCTCTGCATCATATAACACATATTGATAGCTTCTATTACAATTCACGCAGGCAAAGATGTTCTGAGTCATGAATCCTTTTCTATTTATGTATCTTGCCTGATCCTCTTTGCGTGTTACAATCGGCAGGTGAGTGCAATCTTGAGCCCCAACAACACAGCTAAAGAACGGCCAGCACTTAGGATCGTTTCGAATCTGAGTAGGAGTGCTGTCACTCTCAGTAGGCATTTTGATATATTTCTGATACAGTGTCAAGTTCAGATAGTGTATCACTTTTCTAATGTAATTGAATACCGTCTCCGAAGATCTTTCAAATATGCGAGCTAGATACACCGGTGTGAGTGATTGACCGATAAAGGTCATGTACATGTATACCATTTCATGCGCTCCTACGTTCGCTCGACCATCAGAGTGGTACTCCTCTTTCATCTCTGCAACCAACTTTTGAAATACATCTAGTGGTATACGCAGACACTGTCTGTGAAGACGGGGATTGATGCTACTCATGATAGATTCCAGGTCTTCTAAACCGCGATAGTGATTCTCATTGTAAACATTCACACGATATCCGCTCGGCTCAAGGATATTGTATACTGTAGTGTCCACCATGAACTTAGACACTGCTAAATTTCGGAGAGCTTCTTGCGTACGATTTGTTTCTATGCATCCATCGCACTCAGCATCATAGCCAGCCTCGCCACACATACTGTATAACGTGCTGTTGAAGCTGTTAAAGCTTGTGATAATACAGCTTATTACAGTGCAGAAAGTGTATATTATCAAAAGATGTTGTTGTTATCAATCATCAGAATGTTTGTAAACGTGCTTAAAAGTTGGAGTAAATCCAGAAATAGAACACCGCATTCTCGTCCGTAAGTCAAAAAGAGGGTAGACCCTCTTTTTGACTTTGAGAGGAAAATGCAACAAAATCAAATGTTCATGTGTATTTTAATGTCGTCATTGGCAAAATTCGGATTTAGAAAAATCATCGAAATCGTATATTTTGCAAATTATGATTCTCGAAAATTGAGCGAGTCGATTCCCAAAATTCGCTGGAGAATTTGGAAATGCTGTCAAATGTCAAGAAATATCAAATTCAGTTACCGGAGTAAGGTGTTTTACTCCTCCCTCAATTTTTCTCGCAGTATTGTCCGAAGTTGGCAAATCCGGCCTAAATATTTTGCTATATTATTAAAAAAACAAAACAGAAGTATGGATCTTTTTGTAGAAATATAAAGGCATACTTTTTTCTTAATATTTTGGTTTGATAAAATCATACATAAAAAGTTGAAGGTAGAAACATCGAGCGGAACTTTTATGTGTTGTTGTTCCAAAACAAGAAGGATTTGCCTTTGATATAAGAAATATTGCCAGTAGGTATCTGGTATTGACATTGCAGTCAAATTGCCAAGAGTTGGCTAAAGTGTATTTACATTGTTGACTGACTAAAATGTATTTACACTTTTGACTTGATCACTTGCATTGAATTACAGTTAAAGTCTTGTGCTAATTGATCCAGTCGAAACACAACGGCGAACGATGACGTGTGGCCAACAACAGTTCGGTACCAAGTATGGTATACCAACGAGAACTGAATAGTGAACACAATTAAACCGCAATAGAAAAGTACATACTTTACTTCGTGTGAACTGAGAACTCTCATGTTTATGCACGTAGTATATAAAAAACCTACTAAGGTGTATAATAAAGTTACTCTATACACATGGTTCTATTATGGTTTCGCATGATATGTAGGCCCCGAAACAAGGATGTATGCAAAATATAATTTATAGGTTTCTGGAACGCATTTTTATGGTTTTATGGTTTGCCCCTACCTGTGTCAGTTTGGTATCTTCCAGTGCGATTTTTCAAGTGCACACCTGCGCGCTGCACACATACATACAACAATGTTTTTTTTGTAAACGAGTTGTGTTGCTAAGATACGACTATGAACTGATATCATTGTCCACACCGATATCGACTTTTTGCGAATCAGCGACACACATAAAAACCCAAATTCTAAACAAAAATAACATAGTACAAGCGCTATGCCAACAAGGCGATAAATAATTTTTTCTATTCTTTCTTTTTTGGTTTCGTTTTAAAAAAACGACAATAAAATATAAAATTTTATTTTGAAAACCCGATATATTTATATATATATATATTGAAATCAATATGTAAATTCCACTTTTTTTACCACTGTTGAAATTTCCTGTAAATTTTAGAAACTGGAGGACTCTTAAGACTACGGCGGTTACCCGTAAAGACTCAGAGACTATTTACCATATCTAACTCTAATGTGTATTCAATATTATATGCTACCATGAATTGCTGCTCGAAGGAAGTATTTAAAAGGTGAGAGTAAATCACTGCTAGATGTATCCACTTGTCTTTGTCAGCCGACAACAAAATTATGGTGTCTGTACCAGGGTGGGTGGGACCTAGCAGAGTTTGAAGAATGGCGTTTGCCGTTTAGGCAATTGTAATGTGATGTTGTGGCGGCGATATCAGCGTGTTGCGGACTTGCGGGCATCGAAAACCACCAAGAATTCCGGATCCATTTATAGTAGACAGACATCGTGAACCAAAAAGTTATGAAATGACATATGTAGTAGTTTGGCAAGAACGACTTGGGGCTTGGTGCGACGTGCAGACTTTGCCCTCGTAGTTTTTATCAGTTGCTTTATCTCTGTCGAGCAGTAGTATTTTGTGTGCACGTACTGTTAAGTGCCAGTTGTTTAATTTAGAGGACTATGCTCTTGTGCAGAAAACCTGCCGGGACGGTTTGTGCACAAATTAACCGCAGTTTTAGCACCCAAAAAATACTATCCTTGTGTCATTTTTTAAAAAAAGACAAAAACAACAAAACAAAAACAACAACAAAAATAAAATAAAATAAAAAGCAATTTTAAACAAATATTTGTAAATAATACAGAAAGAGCTGGTATTTATTGATGTGAACTAAGAAATACATTTATTTTATTTACATGAGAGCTCAAAACAAAATCTTACTTCCCTCATGAGACTCGGAGTCTGAGTCTCTGAGACTCTGAAGAGACAATCATGAATCATCATATGATTCTCATATATTCTCATATATTCTCATAAATATATTGAATATTCCAAATTTCCAGATTCCTGCATTTCATACCAAACTGAATCTGATTTACTGCCATTCCCCTGGTGGCTGGTGCGGCCAATATTCATATCAGTATTTGACTCGATATGGTTGGACATTCAAACCAGTTCCTTTTTGTTATCAGTAAACATTGTTTGATAATTTCAAATTTGGTTGTAAAAAATATTTAAAAATATATATAAAACACACCAAAGCATGTATTATATTCATTTCAAAAAAATCCCCAATTACAATTTTACATGGCCTTCTTCTAAATTATACACGTATTTATACAAAGAATATCAACAAAATATCTACGCAAAATTTGAATTTTCAGAATGATTCTAAAATATTTGCTTTCGATTTGTAATTTTGTAAGTACAGTATAAAATAGTCCGATTTTAATAAATACCACGATAATCTTTTAGAGGAAGTGTTCTTTTTAAAAATACATCTGTCAACCAGTCAAAGTGCTGGTAAATATTTGCTTAAGAGTTAGGAGTGAACTACAATCACTACACTAACTACAGACTACAGTTTACTGAGCAAGTGACCAAGTGATTGCATTCCCCAGAGCGGGCCCAGACGGCAGACAGCGGTAGAATCCGCGGACACCTACATTTCCACTGCACAGTCTGACCACAAAATATCACCAACACCATTGCATTGGCACGTGTCAGCCCATTCGCATGTATTAAAAAGCGGTATTGTGTATCATGTTCGATGTCAATCTAATCTTCAGCATATTTTTCACACATATTTGCATAGTTTTACAAATTTTAATAAATTATACAGTGAGCATTATGCAAGCCTCAGCCTACGCCCTATCCTTTTACTATGGTCCTACGCTCACTCTTGAAAGTCAAACTTAAGTTTGTTGATGCTTCGTAGCTATATAATGTGATATTTCCAAGATTTACCATTCACTTTACGATCGTACAAGTACAATCTACCGAAATAAAATGACGAGGATATATTTCATAGCCGTTGCTGCTTTGGCTTTGCTCCAGCAGGTGTCCGCTGATTATGAAGTATGGGCCGTAGATCAATCCAACTCTGTTGCTGGTGAATCTGCTTTGGGCGTCAAAGGAAGTTTCCTGTGGGTTTTCAGTTCTGATGAGATTGAAAAACAGGTTGAGGGACTCACTGAACAAGCGAAAAGCGAGCCTTGTACACCAGATGCTACTGAGGGACCTTGTGATCTTCTGGAAATATTCCCTCAAGACTTGACAGCTTCTTTTGCTAATGGCACTACAGCAGGAGAACTTCGCGATTTGGACAGCTTTGCAAGATTCCATTACGCGAGACCTGATGCAAGCAACAACTATGTTTTAATAAACATGTTTATGCCCGGCGGTGGATATATCGGTGTTGTGGATTCACGCACAAAAGAAGCGGTTGCTCTCTTCCGGGTGACCAAGTTCCAATACGCCACTGACGGCGCTGGTAGTACTGCTGAAACGCGTTCTGTACACATGAGCGACTGGGGTGGCGTCGACAGTTCCTACATCATGATCAATAATCTGCACGGCAAAGCTGTAGAGCGCATCAACGTGTTGCGTGACGAGAACGGTGATATAACAGGACTCGACTTCGATCGTAGCGCCTCACTTGGTCTGGGATCAAAGATGAAAGTTTCTGAGGAGGCTACTGTATTCTCTGGTTCCAATGTCTTCGGTAATGCATTGATTGGTTCCATCATTGGTGACTACGCCGATGCCGACCTAAGCGACGCCACACCCAATGGGTACTGCAAAGAGAATGGCTGTAGTGATCTTGCCAATGGAGGCGCTGGCGGACGAGGAAAAAATATGCCTATCTGCACTCTTACAAGCGCCAACAACTTTGTGTATATTACACTAGCCGGCGGTGGACTATTCGTGGCGGATATCTCTGAGACTCCGCTTAAAATAGTCGCTGAGTACGGTAAGGAAGTAATCTATGGTGCTGGTTTGTGCGGTGTGGCCACCCCTGACGGCCAGGTGTTTGTGAATTCTGGAGTGTCGGCATCAGCTGCTGGTAAGGATCAGTCTATGTTTGCCGTTTGGAGCTTTGATGATGAAGCATACGTAGATGCTGACAGTCTCTGTGAGAACGACCCCATGCCAACTCTTGTATACCAAGACGAAGCGACCAACACTAAAACTGGTGGTAACACTATGGGAGCTGATGTAGCGGACACCACCGGCCAACTTCCAGGGCAAAGCACGCGCAGAGACTCTCATGGTATGGCTGTGTCTGTCGATGGCAACTACGTACAGGGTGTCGATCGTATTCAGAACGTAATAGAAGTGTTTGACGTATTTTCACTGGAGAAAACCACTTACGATCTGACCTCTGAAGGTGGTGAAGACAGATATGACGGTGAAGCGGGTGCGTGCTTAGCGAAGTCGGTAGATGATGATTCTGGTCTTCCGGCCAACGATCCTGCACCTGATCCCATCTCAACCACACCCGATGGCAAATACATGGTCGTTGGTTTAAGAGGGCCTGCGCCTGTAACTGTGAACCATGCTGCTCAAGGGAGTTGTCCTGGCGTCGGTATCGTTCAGCCTACTAAGGATGGTAAGGGCGGTAAGCTCATCAGTGTTATTCGTACTAGTAACACAATTGAAGATACTTTAGAGACTGTGCCGGCTCCAGGAGGCCACGAGTACACGGGCAAGGAGCGGAGTGATATCCACGGAATTCTTGTTGTCAACAGAGACAGTAACAAAGGTGCCAACTAACCTCGCCCATATCCTTGCCGCGAGTTGAATAACATATAATCTTGTCGTCATACTACACTATTGATATTTAAGGTAGCAGGTCTTAAAGTAGATGCTAGAATGCTTCTATAGTCTGGACTTAAATAACCAGAAGGGGAGACTCATGAGACATCAAACAGTATGTCGTGATTCCCAAACCGAGCTAGTCCGCACAATCTCTAATAAGCGCGAAAAACAAACATAAACTCCGATACATCTCTATTTTCCCTATAGAAACGTATTCAACATTCGTTTGAAACTAAAAACTTAGCATCACAGACATACATCGATAATGGCAACGGCCAGTGAAAACATGCTTCATTAAACATGCTTCATTTCACACGTTCGCTTATGGGACAAAACAACGGTGCTGGTACACATATGTATAGTGATGTCATGACCGTGACGCATCAATAGCTATATATATATATATATATATTATATTATATATTATATATATATATATGTATATGTATATGTATATGTATATAAATATATATATATATATACACACTATACACACACTCACACATATACACACACAAACACACAC